GAACAAGCGTACGCGAGTCCCTGTCTTCAGGTAAGATTGTGGCCACGTGGATACTGCGGCATCATGGATGCGGTGGCAGAGATTCCGAGTGGTTTTTTCTTCCGGGCAGTCGGTCATAGACCGTTTCCCCCTTGACGACCACTGTACAGGGCAGTATTCAGTGAATGGTGGTGATGAGAAGTGGTCGAATGTGGCGCAGTGACTCTTGATTTATAGGCGTCGAGGTGTGGTTAACCGAGGGTAGTGATTCGTTTTCCTCCATCCCAAACGATTGACCTCTCTTTGTACGTGTTTCATGTCCGAACAGCTTTTTGTTCGTTACTGAACCGGGGCTTTCTTCGCGCGAGAATACCAATTTCAATAAAGTTCCGAATCGAGCACACCACCTGACCCTTCGGGACGAGATCAATTATTGTCATTTTTTAAAATCTTGACAGGGATGTTGAACACGATAGGAATCCAATGACTGTTCGCGGTATTCGGAATTAGGAATGTTGAGTGAAGGTACTTGTCTTCGGCAGTGCGCTAAATTTGTACACGTACAGGTACTTGTATATGACTCATCACTCCCAAGTTCAATGTTCTTTATCTTGCTTGAATTTGAGCATCGCTGCAGTAGAAAATCCAACCACGAATGCTTCATGTATACTTCGTAATTTGAGTAAAACAGGACGGACCTTTTTTTTCTTTCTTCAACTACTGTAATTCTTTTGAAACCTTGGCTCTTGGCAGACGTTATTCGCCCTAAACGTTGATGTATTTCCGCATGTGTATCATCCAAGTTTGGTTACAGGCTGTAAATAATGTAAAATAGCAAGTGATAAGCTGTCAGGTGTACCATAACATTTAATTCTACCTGATGTGAGATTGCCGAAAGTTTTTCACTATATTTTTTCGTGTGAGAGGCGGTGCACGAAAATTTAAGAAAGGATACAAGACATAGCACACGAATGTGGAATCGGGCGACATCTGAGCTTGCAAGTTTCTGATGGAAAATGTTGATACTTCGCAATAATCCCTTGAGGCAGGGTTTTCGCTTGGGTATCGGGCTTCGAGCAGGGGAAAATACCTTTACGTCCGGAGATCATTATGCGTAACAACCAAATTCTGTAACAGAGAGACTAAAGTGTTCTCTATTGATAAGCTTCCTACAGTAGACCAAAAATACGTATCAGGAATTCAACAATGAAAAAATTTGGACGATTTAAAAAACGGAGTTCAGGAGGAAAAAGAATGACGGAAATATCCAGTTGAATCTCAATAACTCAAAGCTCCCTATTTCAATTTTTAAAGTTCCTTTCTGACTTCCCTTAGAAACAATGCATTAAAACATCCTTAATAACTCAAAGGCTTTCCCCTTAAACCTTGTCACTTCGATTTTTTTAAGGCCTTTTGGCTACTATTTTATTGACACAGGAAAGAGAAAATGATTAAAAATATAACTTGATGTGTTTCGAAAGAAAGTAAAAGACTATTTGGACAAATGAACCCTTTCCTTCAAGTTCAGCATCCTGTCAGCCATTTAAAGAAGAAAGTTAAAGTCCATCAGAATATCACGAATTGCAACTTTTTGTAATTCCGCTTCCTTTCCCCGACAACAATGCTCATTCTTCCGTACTCAATTTTTTTGGTCGTCCTTTGAAGTCCGATTCAAAGAGACTTGAGTGTACATCAAACGTGCAGCTTTCTTCCCTCTCGATGAACTGAAAATGTTTCATTAAAAATACATCCTACAATCGAATATTGCTCAACTTCGCTTTGCACAAAATAAAATAAACGAGCGGTTTTAGGATAATATGAATAGCTTAACCATATAAAGAAAAGATCGTGATAAATCGTGAAAGTGGTCGTTGAATACTTTTGAGCAGGCGGCTGCTTTTTTAAGCATCAGCAATGAGTTCGTTTGAAAAAGGCGTCAATCAATGGGTGTTTAAAACGCTTCTGTCCCTGCGGACTTTCCCCTGTATTGTGTCATTCGGCACTCGAATGAACTTATTCGAGTGAACAAATCTGGATTGATGTCAAGTTATGAAAGAAGCGCAAACTGCTGCTAGTGAGACATGTGCATGAAACGAAGCATCTGCTTTTTTAACTGCTCATTCAAACAACTTTCGACTTCTCGAAGTCGTCGGAACGAATGCGTGACTGAAGAGTAACGCACTGTTGTGACAGATGTTCCGTAGTCTTCAAACGCACTTGGAGCATTCGTTTTCCCGGGATTAATTGAATTGGTGTCTCTTATAAGCAATAATTATGAGAATTACCATAGCGGCAATAACAAGCACGCAACAAGNGCACTTGTTCGTCGTACGCTGTCACATTCGTGTCCAGTACCACATGCGTGTCAAGGACGTCATTCATGCGTTCGCGGAATCAATCGAAAGTACACGTTGATGAGGATTCGAAATTATTTCTGGCGAGACTGACGAGCTCGTTCCATTATTCCGCGCACACGCCCAATTGATTTGTGACGTTCTGAACAAGCGTACGCGAGTCCCTGTCTTCAGGTAAGATTGTGGCCACGTGGATACTGCGGCATCATGGATGCGGTGGCAGAGATTCCGAGTGGTTTTTTCTTCCGGGCAGTCGGTCATAGACCGTTTCCCCCTTGACGACCACTGTACAGGGCAGTATTCAGTGAATGGTGGTGATGAGAAGTGGTCGAATGTGGCGCAGTGACTCTTGATTTATAGGCGTCGAGGTGTGGTTAACCGAGGGTAGTGATTCGTTTTCCTCCATCCCAAACGATTGACCTCTCTTTGTACGTGTTTCATGTCCGAACAGCTTTTTGTTCGTTACTGAACCGGGGCTTTCTTCGCGCGAGAATACCAATTTCAATAAAGTTCCGAATCGAGCACACCACCTGACCCTTCGGGACGAGATCAATTATTGTCATTTTTAAAATCTTGACAGGTATGTTGAACACGATAGGAATCCAATGACTGTTCGCGGTATTCGGAATTAGGAATGTTGAGTGAAGGTACTTGTCTTCGGCAGTGCGCTAAATTTGTACACGTACAGGTACTTGTATATGACTCATCACTCCCAAGTTCAATGTTCTTTATCTTGCTTGAATTTGAGCATCGCTACGGTAGAAAATACAACCACGAATGATTTATGTATACTTCGTAATTTGAGTAAAACAGGACGGACCTTTTTTTTCTTTCTTCAAGTAATTCTTTTGAAACCTTGGCTCTTGGCAGACGTTATTCGCCCTAAACGTTGATGTATTTCCGCATGTGAATCATCCAAGTTTCGTTACCGGCTGTAAATAATGTAAAATACCAAGTTATAAGCTGTCAGGTGTACCATAACATTTAATTCTACCTTATGTGAGATTGCCGAAAGTTTTTCACTATTTTTTCGTGTGAGAGGCGGTGCACGAAAATTGCAGAAGGGATACAAGACATGGCACCCGAATGTGACATCGAGCGACATCTGAGCTTGCAAGTTTCTGTTGGAAGATGTTGATACTTCGCAATAATCCCTTGAGGCAGGGTTTTCGCTTGGGTATCGGGCTTCGAGCAGGGGAAAATACCTATACGTCGGGAGATCATTATGCGTAACAACCAAATTCTGTAACAGAGAGACTAAAGTGTTCTCTTTTGATAAGCTTCATACAGTAGACCAAAAATATCAGGGATTCAACAATGAAAAAATTTGGGCGATTTAAAAAAATGAACATTCAGTTTTTCACAAATGAAAAATGTTCTGCTCCAAATTTGAGTCAGAGTACAGGAGGAAAAAGAATGACGGAAATATCCAGTTGAATCTCAATAACTCAAAACTCCCTATTTCAATTTTTAAAGTTCCTTTCTGACTTCCCTTAGAAACAATGCATTAAAACATCCTTAACTCAAAGGCTTTCCCCTTAAACCTTGTCACTTCGATTTTTTTAAGGCCTTTTGGCTACTATTTTATTGACACAGGAAAGAGAAAATCATTAAAAATATAACTTGATGTGTTTTGAAAGAAAGTAAAAGACTATTTGGACAAATGAACCCTTTCCTTCAAGTTCAGCATCCTGTCAGCCATTTAAAGAAGAAAGTTTAAGTCCATCAGAATATCACGAATTGCAACTTTTTGTAATTCCGCTTCCTTTCCCCGACAACAATGCTCATTCTTCCGTACTCAATTTTTTTGGTCGTCCTTTGAAGTCCGATTTAAAGAGACTTGAGTGTACATCAAACGTGCAGCTTTCTTCCCTCTCGATGAACTGAAAATTTTTCATTAAAAATACATCCTACAATCGAATATTGCTCAACTTCGCTTTGCACAAAATAAAATAAACGAGCGGTTTTAGGATAATATGAATAGCTTAACCATATGAAGAAAAGACCGTGATAAATCGTGAAAATGATCGTTGAACACTTTTGAGCAGGCGGCTGCTTTTTTCAGCATCAGCAATGAGTTCGTTTGAAAAAGGCGTCAATCAATGGGTGCTTAAAATGCTTCTGTCCCTGCGGACTTTCCCCTGTATTGTGTCATTCGGCACTCGAATGAACTTATTCGAGTGAAAAAATTTGGATTGATGTCAAGTTATGAAAGAAGCGCAAACTGCTGCTAGTGAGACATGTGCACGAGACGAAGCATCTGCTTTTTTAACTGCTCATTCAAACAACTTTCGACTTCTCGAAGTCGTCGGAACGAATGCGTGACTGAAGAGTAACGCGCTGTTATGACAGATGTTCCGTAGTCTTCAAACGCACTTGGAGCATTCGTTTTCCCGGGATTAATTGAATTGGTGTCTCTTATAAGCAATAATTATGAGAATTACCATAGCGGCAATAACAAGCACGCAACAAGTTGAGAACCACGCAATCCATTTCGCTTTCAGCGCTGCTTTTTTGAAGTCATCGTCAGCTCTAGTGTTCTCTGAAGTTGAAGGAGGAAATAAAATCGATTGCTGCGTCCAGCTTTTGTTTTATATTCGATCAAAAATGTATTGAACATTTAGATACCAAAAGAATGATTTCTTCAAGTGAAATGCTTCCCTTTCCAGGTTATTCGAACAATTCTGCAACAAAATAAAATAAAAACATGGGCCTGAATTGTGGGACCTTTCTCCGGCGTTTCCTTTACGTTCTCTTGATTCAATCCGTGTTGTTTTGCAACGCCGAGGAGCCGTGCAACTCTTCTGATGAAAAATATTGCAAAACTATTCACAAATTTATGACATCCGGAATCATACCTGATGTTCTGGAAACTACTCCTCCTCGTCCATTGAACGTGAGTCTTCTGGGAATCCACATGGCGTCAAAAACGACTGTTTTTGCTGTGCGAACATTGGATGGTTTTTCCTTCTACCTGCAATACACTGTAGATTTTATTTTGATGAGGGTAGATGTCACTGATATAGTTATAGTTCTGTCGCAGCTTTCTTTGCCTGTCAGTGTTCCACGACCTTTTTGGGCCCATGGACCAGCAAATTTCTATAAAACTATTTGTGGACCAGAAAATTTCCACAAAAAAGTTTCGGTGGACCAGTAAAGTTTCCTAAAATGTTTGCAAACTTTAAAAGGGTTTTTTTTAGACTTTGTGGCAGGAATTTAAAAAGTTTCTGGTTTTTTGCAAAAATAAAGTTAAGATTGAGAACCAATGAAGCAACTATAGAAGAATGTCTTCGAAATAAAAAGTTGAGTTTGAAGAAAGGCTTCACGGAATCAATAAAGTCAATATAAGTGGTTGCAGCAGGTGAAAGTTTGTCTCGAAGATTTATTAGGAGAAAAGTCAACTTATATTTTTCGACAGAAAATTTCAACTGCGATTGTATTTTAAAGTTTCTGAAAAAGATGACATACTTCATTGCTACTTCTGATAATTTTATTATGCTGAAGAAAATTTCCCGCTGATGAACGGCAAAAACCTTCAGCGGACCGGCGCTGGTACGCGGACCACAGGTTGTGGAACCCTGGTATATGTTGAGTCATCCAAAATTCCGAATGGTTCTGGGTTTCTATTTCTTTAGGTATACAGTATTCGCAAGGTTACTCGCACTAAAAATGCGGACTTTTCAATGCGCTCAGTACATTTTTGGACATTGAAAATGCCTTTTCTTGAACAAGTCAACTACAGAATTTTTTTTTCTTTCGGTGATGATCAAATTCCAGGTTCAATACGAAGGTGGGGTTCAAGCCACGTTTGGAAACGAGCTGAAGCCTTCGGAAACCGCCAAAGAACCGAAACTTTCGGCATCAGAGTTGAATCCCGAGAAGCTGTACACCTTGATCATGGTTGATCCCGATGCACCAAGTCGTGCTAATCCGTTGTTCAGAAGCTGGCTTCACTGGCTTGTCATCAACATTCCTGGACAACAAATCAGCAAGGGACAAGTCATCTTTCCTTATGCAGGACCTGCGCCTCCGAAGGTGAGACGCCGTTCTTCGTTGATCCGCTTTTTTCTTCTGTTTTGAAGAATGTAATCTATTAAAATGTTCGTTTTGTGTTCAAGGGTACTGGTCAGCATCGATATTATGAACTTATGTTTGAGCAACAAAAACACGTCGACCTGCAGACTGCGATCAACTCGCGATCGTCGTTCAACACCCGCGCATTTATTAAAGCGCACGGACTTGGCAATGTCTTCGCAGGAAACTTCTTTTTGGCTCAAAACGAAGGCTAATCTTTCTGAGGTGGACGACTGCATCACTTAATATTTGACGAAAACGCGAATTCCGATTCTGAATTTCTTTGGATAGTCGGTCATGTATAAGAGGAATAGCATTTCCATATTTTTCTCATGTTTTCTTCGACTCGTCTTCTTTGTTGGAAAATAATCAAGCAGCTTCTTTACCAAACTGTATACCTGGATTTTATTGCTTTTTTGCTTGAGTGATATCCGAATTTTATTTCGTTAGAAAAGCCGCCGAGACAGCATACACTTCAATTAGTTTGATATCATACATTATTCGAAACGTCCGTATTGCAGCGTCACCTACTCACGTAATATTAAATTATTCTTGCAATACCGTCAAGAGATGTCGCAATCGTTTAAAGTTCCAGGTGCTGGGAGGTTTGGATGATCAACCCTATCCGATGTCCTGATTAAAGCATTGCGTATCATTATTACTGAACATTTTCACGCTTTATTCGCTCGGGGAAAACGTCTTATTCGAAATAATCCGTTAGGTTCAATGACATCTATGGAAAGAAATTATTATGCAAGAATTCTGCGGGTCCCCGTGTAGCTGATCCGTGAATTTTCCAGAAGTCGTGAGATGATTTTATCTGCTCACAGCATTAAGGCATGATTTGTTCAGTACTGTACTATGCTGTATTTACCTGTCGCCGGAAATTCGGAACTTGTCCTTCCTTTGCCTGAGTTTTGCCGTGCGGATGGAGATGGAAATTACTTGAATGTAAAGCATGATCATTTTCTGACTGCTGTTTCGATTCGCATGGACAAAGTTCGGATCGAAGCTGAGAGTTGAATGTTCATCACATCGTTTTAAATCAAGTAAATAACGTTTAGAATCCACTCTTGCTTGTTTCATTTTTGGCTGCTAGTTGAAATGCTACAAAACATTACGCAAACTATCAGAAATATTTTCTTAGCGACATTGATTTATACCTTACAGCTATAACATAACGCCTCGAGCTTGGGAACTTTCGGTAAGTGATTCGTACCTTAATTTGTCCATATTTGAATAATCCTTCAAGTCAGAATCGTGACTGTAGAAAATTTGGCAATTGAAAAAAATTTGTCACCGAGTCTTGTTTTTCATCTGGAGGACGCAGATGAAACCTGCAAAATAATTTCAATATACTGTACTGTTCTGACAGAACTTTAGAACCATCCCTCATGCAGACCCTCATGAAGCCTCGTCTCACGCTCATAATTAAGACGGCAATTAACTGTTGACAAGTTTGAGTTCGGGCGAACAAGCGCATTCCGCAGACAAATGAAAGCGAAACCAAGTGAAAGGTCTTGTGAGTAAAGAAAGGCTTTATTTCCGCCATGAAAATGTATTAAAGAGCTTCGTCGCGAGCTCTGGAATGCCGTAGAGTTTCCCGAATGTACGCGCATGCATCCTAGAATAAGCAGTGGTCAAACATGATGAAGTTCGCAATCGTGTTTTCCTCGTCGTCGGACCCGAACCCCCTCACCAAACCGACGATGATGGGTAGGTTCTTCGGGCAGAGTGGAGCCCGTCTGCCGAGAAAGAGGGAGGAATCAATGAAACATCCTTGCAACAAGCTTCCTTTCAGCGCAGTCATCAGCGGAATGCACTTCCTGCCCACTCGAGACACGGAGTGACTGATGGACTTCCCATTCCAGAGACCTTTCTTTTTTTTTAGGCGAGGTTTTATGCTCAGGGATACTCACTGTGACCGTAGCCGCGGGTTCCGTCGTAGGAGTTGTAGCTGATTCTGGATGGGACAGCTGACACATAGCTACTCGTGCTGTATGTTCTAGAAGGCGAGTAACCAACGCTCTGGTATCTGTGCCAAAAATAGTCGGAATGAAAACATCCAGCAGAAAATCCCTCATGGAAAAATGCTCGCGGAAGTTCATCAAACCCGCTTCCTGCGCGAGCACACGGTGATATTCAGGGATTACAAAAGAAATCCGCCGAGTTGCTTTGTTCGTTCTTTAAATAAACTGTCAAGTAAAGATGAAAAGCTTCGGTGTTCTACTTGTGGGGCGTACAGCAGGGGCATATTTCGAACAATGACACAACGTCAACATGTGGGTATTTTTACTATTAGACCGCCAGAGCTTTTCAGCAGACGCGAGGAAATTTAAGAAGATCCAGCACTGACATGTACTGTAACTTCGTGAACAGCCTGTTGAAGGCGTCCCGAAATGACTCATCCCGGAACAGTGCATTCCCAAAACAGCCTTTGTGCGAAAAAAAAGGCATCTTCAAACCCGAAACAGCACTTCTACAAATAATCTTTTCATTTCATAATTATAGCTAGTCATCATTTTCAATTTTTTGTGGCTATCGAAATTGAAGACACAGTAGACCTCTGATAATTATGGCTTCAATTGACATATTTTCTTTTGGATTACTGAGAGAAAATATGCGAGCATCTTCAATTTCTTCCACCTGATTAGTGATTATGCCTAATGCCTGCAATGTTTCCAGGAATGTCAGCGACATCGCTTCAGGTAATCATTGTTTAAGACAATTTCTAATTAATTTTATATAATTTGTAAAATGCCTGCACTGTTTGCAAGTATCCAGCATACTTCGCTTTTTTACTTGTCACAAAATCACAGCCGAGATAACCCGTGTTTATCGAAAATTGCATTCTACTGCAGTTGAATGCAATTCCCAAAGTACAGTACAGTATAATTTCAACGTTTTTTTTATTTTCATCGTTGATAGTTAATGCTTCACTCATCATTTTCTAGGTTTGGTCATTTTTTTCGCATTAGTTTCGCTGAGACAATTTGTTTCTGTAGCATTGTTTTGAGACGGCAATAATTTTTTGGGGACAGCGTTAATATCGGATTTTTTCAAGATTCTGTTGCTTGAAGGAAATGTTTACCTTGTGACCGGCGAGGAGTAGATCCGACGGCTGTGGCTCGTTACAACTGGAGTGGAATGAGCGTAAACCCTTTGGAAAGACCTGGTGGAAGATGGTCGTGAAATGAGGCGTCGAACAGGGACCTCCGGGGCGGCGAAGTATTGCGTGTTGAAGCCGCGCACCACCGGCGCCGGTCTGGAATAATGTTGCCTGACTAAGGTCGGACGCACCACGGTCGCCACTGCCGGAGAGACGCCATAAACGCCCGACTGCTGCTGGTAACCCAATGGTCTCAAACCCCCGTAAGTTTCCTCCAACGAGTTGTCAGTGTCGAGCCGCGTCACCACCGGCTGCCTGACGTTGCTGTTGGTATAGGAACAAATGCGGGATCATAACGTAATTTCGTTCCTTGTTTCGCTAAACTCGGGGAGTGAGAGCGAGAAGGGATCCCTGGATTCTCTTTGGGTAGAATAAAGGGTGCCGGAGTGAGAAAGCGTCGCATTTTCCAGGCAACCGTATCCAACGAGGGGAAATTACGACCCCCATTCCTGTAAAATAGTCTACATATTTCATAAACTGTACCCCGGATGAAATTCGGTGAAAATTATCGCCAACATGGGTTCCTTCAATAAATCGCGAGGCGGGCGTTCTGCTTTCTGATCTCGTGAAACGTGAACTCTGAATGCAATTAATTTGACTCAAAATTCTGAAATTAAATGTTGAGGTTTTCTGCTAAGCTTGATCAAGACAGCCACCCATGAAGCTCCCGAGAATGCGAAGCGAACGTGATTTTATTCATCTTCCGCGAAATTAGCCGTGAAATCGTCACGCATAATTGCAGCGCTTTGAAAGCCGATATCAACCTTGTTTGATCAAGGAAACGGTCTAATTTTGTTATTCGGTTCGAACCCACGTTCGCAGTACTTGCTGAAGTACCGTGTAAATGTACAGAGTACTTCCGATGCCACTTGCGTGGGCAGATTGTGGGTTTTCGTTTTTCCCGTTGCTTTATGAAGCACGCGGGCCACGAATTTATTCGAGAAGAAAATTGAAATACTCACGCTTGGCAATGAAATTTGATTATTGGGTGTCAGTTTTGGGACTTGTTTCTTTGGAATATGCAAAAGAACACAATGCATCACCTGTGCTTCCATTAAACGTGCCAAGTAAAACTTTCAAATCCTTAAAACAAGAAACATCTCACATTGATTTATATACTCCGAATATTGCACCTTTGAATGACAGGATTACAGCATGTTTCTCAAACACTTTTCGCGGCTACACACGGTTTTTCCTTTAAAATATCCTTTTTAAAGTTATTCTACATGCTGATCTCAGTTTTACACGAATTCCCTAATGATGCGAATACATTACATTTTTGAGGAAAATCAATGTTAATTAAAAATAACGAAGGCACCTGATATCGTTATTATTATCAGTATTTATCGAGTAATCTCGCATAAATCCCGAATTTTTAGGATCCTATTTTCATCCTTCGATTGATTTCGGTTTCGGATCTTTTTTTTAGACTTCCCATGATCAGATGATCAGCACTTACAACTTTTCGATTAGACACCTTTTTTTTCTTCACTATGAAATATCTCCATTTATTCACAGCAATGTTTTGACGCTCCCAAGAGCTGTGTCTTTGAGAAACACTTTTTTTCAAATTAGCTATTACAGTATATTGATAATTTAATCATAGAAAAAATATTGTTGTTCCTGATAGGCGTACAATATAATAATTTTTATACAGTACTGCATTTGAAATTCAACCCTTTTCTAATAGAGTTCCTGATTACATACGGACGAAGACGTCCGTTTATTACGCCGTTTAATATTGGTTCTATATGATGGTACAGTGAGTCCTCGGACAAGTTTTGTGAGCCCTGAGGAAAACGCCATTTTATTCCTTTTTGACCTCGCTGACGTTTCTAGTTCGCCAAGCTTCTTGTCTATCTGCCTCGGAATGATACGACTCTAAATCCACGAGGCACTTGAAAGTTTACTCCGCCTGCCCGGAGAGCCCGTGAGTGTTCCTTTCGCTGGGAAGGAGCGGAGTCTGATTTATGAATACGGGAGTAGAGTTGATTTGCAGACACCCTGCAGGTCGGGCTGCGCTGGTGCGTGCAAGAGTAGGAAAGTAATTACTGAAAGTTATGAGCAGCGCCCGGAGGGAAGAACTGGGTCGTGGAGACGTGACGCGTCGGCGCCAGAGGGCGGCCGTAGGTCCGGACGCCGTAGGAGTCGTCGTCGTCGCTGCTGGTGCTGCTGCTGCTGAACGCGGCGACCTTCGACGTCGCCACGCGTGTCGGGATCCCGATGTGGCTCTGGTACTGCGGCCTCGCGGCGGCGGCGACGATCGGAACCCGCTGGAAGCTTTGTGCCAAGTGCGACGGGGTCGCGGCGTGATTGTAATACTGCTCCGCCGACCCGCTGTCGCCGAAACCTGTCGACAGGGAAGAACGGATTTTTCATCCCCGCGATTCACGGATGCAGAAACAAGAGCGGTTCTTGTCGCCCAGCGAACTGATTCATCACACGGAATTGCGCTGTCTCTTTTTTTTGCCATGCCCTTTGACTGCGAGATTCGACACTCATCTGACGGAAAACCGTCTCCTCTAACCCTGCGATATACAGTTCAACAGGAATATTTTGAGGGAATATTCCCTGGGACAATTACTCCATCAACAATAACCGCCGCTTCCGCCCCCCCCCCCCCAATTTAAAAGAAGTCAAATCCTAATAACATTTAATACTCGTAAAATGCATGCGCAGTAAGGTTAAATTTCGCAATCCACATTAAAATTCGAAAATGCACAACCAGATGTCTTCTCGAAAGCATTGAAATGCTGTTGTATGAATGTCGAGAAGATTTTCGTCATAAAGGTAGGATCACAATGGTGATTACAATAATATTATTTTATTGTTTTGCATTGAAAAATGAAACTACTGATGATCGTATTTTTGAGATACACTTCCAGATACGACGCTCTGACTGAAAATGATCAGTAGAACTCGAATCATCTGTGTCAAAGAACAGGTGCCAAGAAATACAACCCGAAATGAGGATACTCAGATCGTTCAAACTGAAAAAGCTTCAAGGGGGGCCTATAGCATCATTACGCGAATAATCAATCCATCAAACAGAAAAAATATCAAATTAAAACCATAATCCACGCAGGCCATATTATTACCTGCAAAAGAATTGAATTTTGAACAAGGCTAATCGAATTGAATGTTAATCAAGCCCAGATATTCCAAGTTCTACAGCACGTAAGATTCATTGATTGCTCTGGATCGAGGATGGCGCATGGAAATGATGAACGGATCGGTCTTACTTAAAAAAATATTTCTGAGATATTAATTTCTCCTAGAACAAAATATTATGCACAGTTCAGTTCGAAGAACTTCTTTCTCAGCCTCGAGGTTGAGAATTCCCCTGGAAAATTGTAAACAGACGACACTGATATCGATTTTCGAAACAAACTGAAAGAACTCTTTCTCCCTTGAGCTTGTATCAGAAAGGGAGAATTAATTTCCCTCATGAATTTTTCTCGCAAAAGCCTTATTGCATAAAGCATAAAAAAATGTTTTTTTTTGAGATTTTGTTTGAAGCACTTAATCCCATTTCGCAGCATCGCCGTGAAATTGATCTAAGATTCAGCTGCCGAACACGGCGAAACATCTGATGGAATTATAAAAAAGTTATATCCCGTAGCAGGAGTATACTTCTTCCGCTCGGGAAATTCGTTTGGCAGTACGGAACGAGTGAAGTTCTTTTTTTTTTCTTTTTTTTTTTGACCTGACGGAAGTTCAGTAGTACTTCGGGCTCGCACTCCGCTATTTGTTTTTTCTCTTCCCAGTCATAAAACCCGAACAGCGCTGGCAGAAAATACAGAGCTGCTGATGCACCATTTTGCTCCTTGCAACAGCCCTCAATCAACTGCTCGAAACCATTTCGTCTAAACGATTTCCCCTTTCAGTCGTAAATCTACGCTGTGTAATACATTCTGCTTTCCTAATCTTTGGCATTCTTCACGATAATTGGGGACGTGTCGAATAGTAGTTTCATCCTTCTGATGGTTTGCGTTTCGAGAGCTGCATCAAGAAATGCAAACGATGAGACGCATTTGGAAATTTTTCCGTGGCCCATTCGTTGTATGAAGATTTAAAAAAAAGCAAAGGGAAAATTATTTTGTGGCGAAATGGAATTCGCTTGGGATTCGTGAATGTTCGTAGATACTGTATAAGCAAATGTTTTCTTAACTTTTCAGAGAATATTACTTAAGGACGCTTCTCTCGGTAGGCCCTCCTTCAAGCAAAAATTGCCCAAATCTGAAGTAGTCTCAAGAAATCGCTAAGAATATATATACAGTATATATAAAATTAAGGGGGCATTATTTACATTATTCGTCAGATGGCTTTTTATAATCGCACGGATATTGGTAATATCACGTTAGAGCGCAGTTTGTTTCCATGAATTAAATACAATTTTCAAATTTATGATGCAATCATCGAGGAATCACAAGTTATCAGCAAAAATAATTGGAGCTTACTGTGCTGAAGAGCAATGCCCAGAATCTTTTGGTTCTGATAAATCAGGATTTTCATAAACAGTGATAAAATACTGTGCTGAATAATTGCAAGAATTAAAGCAAACTAGGCTTGCTGTGCTTCATTCCAACATATGGTTGACAAAGTCTCTGTGCTAATATGCGTCGAAGTTTGTGGGGATGTCGACGATTTCACGACAGATTATTCTTTACTCTTCAATCCGTTAAATGAATGTTCCTAACAATAGAGTCCAATCATCTGTTATTTTCGGGAGAAGGCATCCGGGCGTTCGTCTGGCGAGTTCTACAGTACTATACACGTGTACTTGGTTTACATATTTTTGCAACCAGGGTTGAAGGATGTGTTTATTCGCGAAAGGCACGAGGGTTTTGTAGTGCCCTTCGGATTGGTCGTGATCTAAAAGCGTAAACTTCTTGTGGTAGGTGGCGAGAACCCAGTGTTGACGCAAACAATTTACGGGAGCCGCTTACCCAAGGAGTGCGACCCGGCACCTGGAAGAAACGCTCCGCCCTGGTTCAGCTCAAAGCCCGAGCCGCGATACGGGAAAAATCCGTGATCCCTTTTCGTCACCGACTTGTTTCCGGCGCCGGTGTCGGTGTCGGTGTCGCTTTTCCCGAGAACAACGGCGACAGCCACCTTGAAAGGGGCGAGCGGGGAAAAATTCGCGATTATACTGGATTGCACAGCACAGGTAGAAAAAAAAGGCGTCCGCGCCACAATTTTTCACTCACAATCAAAAGTAATCCCAGGGACTGCATGATGTGTTTGTTCTGGACGTTTCGGATTCTGGATCGAATGCCAAGTGCCCTGCGGGTCTGTAGCTTTTATAAGTCGACGTCGAAGGACGACGGACTGGCTCTCGTGACAGGGAAACCGTCATGAAACAAGGGATTCCACTAAACATCTCGCCACGAACTCGTCCCGTTCGTCACGTATTCGGGAGCAATGCCAAGGTCCGGCGATTTACTTGGAAAAGTCGATGAATGGGCGACAATCTCGCCGACGAAGCATGCCGAAGGGAAGAGTGCCTTTTTTTTTTGTCGTCTCCCAGGATGACAAAGGGAATGCCTGAGCTTTTGTTATCGTTTCCCTGCAGATGGTTAACGTGGCAACCGGAGGCCTGATAACCGGCAGTAGTCACGACAGGACTGGCGGGGGTTTATTGTGTTTGCTTTGCGCGTCGGGCGCCTGAAGAGGATGAGACAATGGGGGGCGGATTATCCCTGTCAGCGGGCGACTAAGAATCAGAGTTGCCGCTCAGGCTCCCTTTTTGCGGCATTCACGCCCGTCATTCGTCCGATCGCGATTAATAATGCAAGAGTGTCTCATGTTCCGCATCAGTCCTATCCTATAGGCGTAATTCCAGCAATCATCTCACCCAAACGAGCGTGTATGATACAGGACCTGAAATTGAGTTCTGTTCCTCTATTACAGTATCTGAATATGATTCAGCTATCTCATCACACATCTTCCTATATGATCTGTAAGTTTTGAGGCTTTGCCACTTTGATGACGCACGGGATGGTCCAACTGTTTCAAACCTTCCCAAGTCAAACACCTCCCTACGTCACACTTTTTTAGTCCCCGTCCGGATTCTCTTAGGAACAATGGGTATTATAGATCTCCCAAACTAAAAACACATGCCCTCTCGTAAACCTCTATAATTTGAATTTCTAGAAGCTTTTGTGCAAATATTCTGGGGACCAAGGAAAAAGAGCAGAAATACAAATGTAGCTCCATTCTTTTCAAAAGGAAAGGAGTTACTAATCGGGCAAATTAACCCTTGCCTCAGAGTTGATTGTCAGCTTTTTCACCAGGCAGCTTCAGGCCCAGAAGATCAACAATTTTACCATTGGGTAATTTTTCATTTTCTCCCAGGGAAAATGCTAGTTTCCCTTCCTCAGAAACCCCTCAAGTCAAATTTCGAGGGCTCCTCGCAGTTAAACTTGTGGGGGATTGACTGTAGTATGGTCTATTTATCTATCCATGACGGATGAGACGTTTTGTCCATCCACCTTTTTCAAATAAAAAAAAGGTTTTGAATATTTAATCCCAAGTTTTCACTTGCATCGGATTCATGAAGAACATGAATAGTAAATCAAATCGTTCATTCTTTAACAGCACTGATTTGTTCTTAGAAGAGGAGTCCTTTCATAACAGAACATTTCTTCTGTTATAATTGTGTTCAAAAGTAATCGACCAATCCTTGTACGAACGCAAACAGCTAATTTTCGTGTTACTCGTCGAACCCGTTTTTCTCGTTCGAGATGTCAGAAAAATTTGACCTGGAAAACTACCGAAGCGGTTCGATGAGACCTGATCGACACAGAGAATGGTAGTTCATCATTAGATAGCATGGGTGTCATGGATGTCATGCATCACATGAACATGTGAATTATTATGAATGCATTCGAGCAGAGAGCAAATCGGAAATGCTGGTTCTGTCAGTCCAGAAGCATCATCGAATGTTAAGAAGTGGAGAATAAATGAGGAACTTGAATTCGAATTGTATCCTTCCAGCGAAGCATAGAAACCCGTTGATTAAATGGGAGGATGTACTCTCGAGATGCAGAAAAGCGGAGGTGCTAGAAAAGCTTTCCAGCGAATTACATCATAAGATGGAGATGCGCGTTTCTCAGGGGAAATCGAAAGAGATCCGTGATCAATGCACGATGGCAACTCTGTTGATTTATTAAAGTACGCGGCAAAAGAACGAGGGACGTGGATGGAAGAATAGGAAATAAGTCAAAAGAGACGCCCCAACAGTTGCACCGGCGACTTATGGCGAGAGCATACAAGAAGAGCTTGCTGCTGCTGCTGCTGCGTGACACGTGTCCGCTGGGTCTGGAGTATATGGACTGACTTGACTCCAGTTTCTTTTCCCACAACGTACTCCCCCAAACATTCCGACCCCTAAGCATTTTGTTGACTTTTCATCTCCGCGTGGTCACATATTTGCCCTTGCCGCACGCCGGAGCGGTCAAATTTCTGCAATCGCCACTCGCCAATGGATCCCCCATCACGCATTCGAACCCGCTTTTTGGCACATCGCGACAGCGTTTATTTGTTTCAATTATCATGCAGAGATTTTTTCTCCCCAGATGATCAGCAACCGGACTTCTGGGTTAAGTTCGTGGAAAATTCAACAATTTTAAAACCGAAGTAAGTTTTATCTGACCCGCCGAGACCTAGTTGGAATTTATTTCGATGGTCGACTGCTGGTGGGCTTCGCTATTTCATTTTTATTTTTGCAGATGATGATTCTTGAGTCATATACAAATTTAGATTTATTGCAATTTTTATTGTTCTTTTACTTCATTCTGCTTCTTTTATTCCCTTGGGTTTGCTGCGGAGTTCATGAGAAGCCCAGAAAAATCCTCAAGGGATCCATGCCACACCAGTTCAGAACATCCGATAGAAAAATTTCGAAAATATGGTCCTGATGTTTACTAGGCATTGTTTCAAACCAGTACTTTATTCTACAAATTTTTCAAACCCCACGGACTGGTACGAGCAGGATCAATTTTTTGGGAACCGAACAAAAGAACAGAGAAAATTTTCTCTGACTGGTTTAAGCCGAAGACGTTCGGATAAAATCACGGTAGTGAATATCTTGCAGTTATTTGGCTACTGCCTAATCCGTATACATTTACCTGCAAGAAAACTCTCGAAGAAGACGCCGAGGAGAAAACTATGCCTTCTGAAATACACCATCTTGTTGGCACAATATTCTTGAAAATGAGCCATATAATACATGTACATCATGTCATTTAGTGGCGATAAAAAAAATGCATTCGTAAGATTAGCTGGAGCATAGGTCCTTAGCTTTCATCCATTTTGGTGAAATACTTGAATTCAAAATTTGTGACAAGGGTAGTCGATAAATATGTCTCAGGGACACACGGAGTATACAGCGAAATTGAACTGAACGACGAACCGCTTTTCCATTGGATTTGACAAAAAGTTTCTACTCGCCACACTCAATAAAAAAGGGTTATAATTACTCTGGAGAATTCTTATCTCTTGATTTTTCCATAAATGCTCCAAGCTTCATAGTTGATGTACCAACTATGATTATCCTGGAGGATTTTCATTACAGATGAGGCAAAATTGCATCAGAGAGACAGCCGATCTTTCCCTCCTCCCGCCAGAGACAGGCTGTTGTATTCGGAAAAGTCATCTCTCTATTCTGTTTGCAATTTTCCACGTCGGTTCAATTCGCGCGGAATTAATGCTGCAATTCACGCGCGTTTGCAAGGGCAAGTACGATTTTCTAATTTGCACCACGGTGAGGAGACACTTGTGAGCTGCGTTTTGAACTCTGCTCACCCCTGTTTGCCAGGAAAATTGCAAGCAACAGCGATTCCGCCACGCGACCGACTGCGGGGGAGCAAATGCGCCAGTAATTCTGTGTATTTCCCCTCGTTTTTGATGAAGGGGTAAGTCGGAAATGTTCCAGAACCCCCGCTGTCGTCTCGACACGAGCCTACACATTTCAAAGCGGTTTCCGTCCAGGTTTGGCTTCGGAGAGGGGGCAGAAATCCTGGAAGGCTTTCATTTGCGGGCAGCGAAATCGTGGACGAAGTCGACACGAAACCCGTCTTGGCCTAACTCGCTTCGATCGACCCCGAGATTTGTTTGATAGTCTTGTTGACGAAGGTGGCAATTTCCTCGTGGTCAAGCCTGGTGCAAAAGCAAACTGGGTCATGTTTCTTGAACTTCCACGAATTCCCCGGCAACCGGTAAACTCCGGCGGCGACAGATGCCCTGATGCATCGTCCGTTTCTTTTCGACGTCCGGATTGCCTTCATTTGTCCTCGGCGGCGTTTCCCGGTGAGATGCCTTTTTTTTTTTTTTTTCCCCCTCTTGCTGAGGTAATTTCCAGCCGTCGCCGCCGCCTCGGGGGTCGCATTGTTGGGTGACATAGTCGAGTAACAATTCTGGGACGCCATTGTCCGGGCTTCGTACTGTCTCCCGCCCGGGGTTCCGTTTGAAAGGCGGCGATGACAAGCGGCGCGTGATGTCGCCACAGCACAGGGCAAGGCTTCAATCTCATGGACGACCGACTCATGAGGCGGCGTCCTCACTCATATCCACCGATTAAAAAGCGTCCCGGACGGAAGTTCATTTCCAGAATCAAAAGCGAGTTTATTCCAATCAAATGCGAGGGGCTGAACGAAAGTTCATGGCCACAATCTCGTGTTTTTCCAGTCAAAACTTTATTTCATGAAATTCAGTAAAACAAGGTTGAATTCGAAAGATAACAAAGTGGCCTGCGCAACTTTGATACCTGACGCTTCATGATCTCCCATGGTATAAGAACGATTTGAGATAGAAAATTCCAGACTGAACGAATTGAGGCAGACAATTCGATGCAAGGACGATTTGAGGAAGACAATTTGATTTTAAAAAGGAAATTTTGATAGCGCAACAATTACATCGGGGATATTTTGATACAAATTGGTGACCGTTCGATTTTTTAGCGATTCAAACTGAATTGGGAAATTACTTTTATTATTCTTTCTTGACCTTCTTCGAAAGCGTTCTCTTCTTAATTACCTTCAGACACTAGATTGTTCAGATGGATCAAGGGAAGAATTTGCAGAAGGAAATTTGCCGAAAACATGTTTGCTTGCCGGCCTTTTTATGGTCAAATGTCTTATCCAGTAATTTTTCATAGCTGAAAATATTTTTCAGTGTCTGTATTTGATCATTTCCATTTGTGAAAATTCACCTGGAAAGTTACTTCAGGACATAATTGAGAACGTTTTTGACAATTTAATCATTGAAAAAAATATGAATAATTTATATTTGATTACCGAAGCAGAGGCAGTGATCATGAACGCAAATAATGGAAGTTTTAATGCATGTTGAACATAATGTTCGAAAATTACCCTCGTTCCTTG